CTGTCTGATCGAAGACTTGCTGGAAGTTAGCCCTGCCATTCCTCCCAGCTCTCTCTCTCTCTCTCTCTCTCTCTCTCTCTCTCTCTCTCTCTCTCTCTCTCTATCTATCTATCTATCTATCTATCTATCTATTAGTTGTAAGTAAGAAGATAAAAAAATGACTTGATATTGTTTTTGTTTCCTTTTGTTTTTTTCGCTTTCGCACTCTGATAACTTTGTGACAACATATACTCCGACGTTGCTAGCTCTCTGCTTTTGTAGATGATGTGGCGAGCATCGGGCCTGTACTAGCAGGCTTTTTATTTGGCTATGGTAGAATATACTCTTTTCTAATTTTCATTTCTATCCTTTTTCTTTTTTCTTTTGCTTTGCTCCTCCCCATTGTTGGGGTATTTCGTTTTACGGACCTACTGTATGGTTCCGTTTTTTCAAGTGTTGGTTATGGTAGAATTGTTGGTATTTTTGGTACTCTTTGTCTGCATCCCGGTTGGTTTTGTCTCGTTGTTCGGTCCACGTGGCGGTGGTTTCATGTGGGACTTGTCATCCAGGTTTTTCCTTTTGGCATCCTAGTTGGCTGGTTCCCGTTGTTTGGCCTATTGATGGGAGCATTGGGAGGCGGTGTTTTTAGGTGGGAATCATCATCTGGGATTATCTTTCTATAGTCTTTTTTGCAGGCAAGGGTGTTGATTGCTATCCTGGTTGATTATTGTCCCGTCGTTTTGCCTCTGATGTAGGGGGCGGTGCTTGCATGTGGGATTTGTCAGCTAGGATCAGTTATGTTTGGTTTTTGGCACCTTTGTCTGCATCCCGGTTGGTTTTGTCCTGTTGTTCAGTCTATTTCGGCGAGCGTAGCGGTGCTTTCATGTGGGACCAGCCATCCGTTTTTTTTTTTTTGTTCGGCCTATGAGAGCATGAACGGTTTAAGAATGGGAATACCAACATCTTGATGACCAACAAGGCCATCTGCAGCATATACATACTTATTTGGGATTTCTTTTTTTGGAGGCAAGAGTGTTTTGATATCCTGGTTGATCTTGTCCCGTTGTTTGGCCTATGAAGTTGGGGCCGGTGCTTACATTTGGGGCTTGTCATCCAGGATCTTGTTGCCCCGTGTTTTGTTATATTTGCCTGTTCCCTTCCTTTTTTCTTTGTCTCTTCGCCTTTTGGCTGTGTGCAAGTGGGTCGATATGACACACGGGGGTGGGGCCAGCCGCCGCTCAACCTACATCCACGTGGGCGGCCTTGTACACAAGAGGTTCTGAACAGGGGAAGTTGTAAGTAAGAAGATAAAAAAATGAATTAATATCTTTTTTGTTTCCTTTTTTTTTTTTTTTTTTGCTTTTGCGCTCCGATAACTTTGTGACAATATATATATATATATATCGTCAAATAGAACTGCCCGGTAAACCGTAGGCAGAGAGGGTAGGGAGAAGAGGACAACAAACGAGGGGCTGTGACAAACTGTTTCGTCGGAGTTTCACCGACTCATCAGGAGGCTGAACCCTATATATCGTCATATATATCGTATATATATCGTCACAAATAGAACTGCCCGGTAAACCGTAGGCAGAGAGAGAGAAGAGGACAACAAACGAGGGGCTGTGACAAACTGTTTCATCGGAGTTTCACCGTCTCT